TGCAGGTTGTTGATTTAGTGATTATTAAGTATCTTTCATGATTCGTACCTTTTTTATTATAACATCCCTCTACGGTAATTATTAACTTTGAAATAGTTAGCAGGAATTCTATGTCTGCACAAAAAGCTTTTCATTTACAAAAACAAAATGACTTTATATTTATTACACAAAATTTTGTTAACGTTCCGAATTCGATTATGAGTCTTCTGTAAAAAAGGAACAACTAAATAAAATATATTACACACAGATTTGTAGAGTATCCACGATTTAGATCGAAATATTAGAAAGCTAACGAAACATACTTTCTGAACAGAAACCCATGTATTGTATTTCTGAATCGAACATTTATTTTAACCAGTTCCAAGGGACAATATTAAGATTAATGGAAAAAGTTTTGAATCCTTCTTCGACATTTTTAGCCAGATACATTGACAAATCTCTGATCAATTCTTATTAATTTCCAAATATTTAACACGAATTCTTGTTTTGCACAAAAATTTATTCATGCATGTAAATAAAATAGCTGCTTGTTTATTAAAAAAAAGTTCATTAACGTTTTGATTTCAAATATGGGTCTTTTGCACAAAAGGAGTAACTAAATACTAAATAAAACATTTATATTACAAAAAAATTGAAAGAGAATCCATGATTTAGATAGAAATATTAGAAAACTAACAAAACACAAAGTACCTACATTCTGGACAGGCACCCATATATTTCTGATACAAAAATTTATTTTACACAACAGCATAAAATCTAAAGATTCAAAATAAAAAATATTAAGATCAATAGAAAAAGTTTCGTATCCTTATTTCTTATTTCTATAATCGAATTTTGGGTAGCATTGTAAGTAGGTTCGCAAATAATAAAACTATATTAAAATCTATTTTTAATAACCATTTATTGCAAAATAGACTAATAAATGTTCATTAAAAGTATGTTTTGACATGGGTTTTTTATTTGCAAACCTACTTACAAAAATCCACTTAATGCCAAAGGTGGTCGAATACTTTCGTGACCAACCGTATATTCACGTTCAAAAAGCAAAGTGAATGGCTCGAGCCCATCGCTAGTCGGTGGTACGAGGAGTTTCGATCTATCGAGCGGCGCTTGGGACGACAGTCTGGTCGCGGTGCGGCTTATTCAGTGTCAGTGCTGTTCTCGGCACGTTCGGCGATCGTGGACGTCAAGGTGAACTCTCACTCGTGAAATACGCGACCGTAGTCGGGAAAATGAGTCGATAGATCGCCGATCGACTTGGACCTCCAGCCTCTACCGCGGACGTTTTCAAAACGCGTTCCGCGAGGAACATCGAAAACTTCTGCGTAACGACACACTCCGCAACAAAGTGGTATGTAAAGCTGCAAATAATTACAAATCCAACGAACACGTTGTTCGTCGGTTGTTAAGGGTATGTGAATGAAAACATTGCGAGTTATTGAAGAATAATCGTTACGCCGTTACCGTAAAACACTGCCGCGTACGTACGTCCACGCGAAGTGTTGTTTAAAAGTCGGGAATACAAGTTTAATGCTCGAGAGTTGTTATACACCGACTGCTGTTGATTCTTGACCGACAGTTTTCACTAGCTAATTACAAACTATGCATGTTACGCCGTCAGCCGTTAACGGGAGAACTTTTGTGACTTAATAATTTCCGGGATATTATTGCTCGGTTAATTAATTATTAATTATAAATGCATTACAACGAATACGTACACTATCGCTTGTAAGTATTAGGACAGCTAGCGTGTAGGAAGAAAATTTAATGTTTCGTAAAATATTTTAGGCCGAAAAGAACATTAAACGCTCTCAAGCGAGTTTCGATATACCGTAAACAATAGTTATTTCAGACTTTCAGCAATTTCGGAATCCCTTGTAGCATTTACTGCATATTTGCTAACTGTCCTAATATTTACGAACAGAGTGTATAGGAAAATGTGTTTGTCGAAATGGTTGCAGGTATTATCGCGGTATGTTTAAACTACGGATGTACTCTATGCGTTTGTAATGTGTGTGAATGTGGAAAGCGGAATGTATTAAAGAGTTGTGGTTTTTATGCAGGTTTTATTTTATGACTAGTCTAATGTGTTCTCTGATAGAGAAAGTAAGAAAAATTTGCATTTACGTTGCCAAATGGCATTACAGGTATAATTTATTTATAAATTTCCCTGATTAATTCACTTGCGTCAAAGCAGTATTAACGTTTTTATTTAGTAAACCGTGTGTATAAACGCGTGAAAGAACATGGAATACTGAACTATGACTTGACGGCTGCATCACAGATGAAATTATTCTTTTTAGTCACAGACTCTAAGATACAAACACAAATTGCTCTTTTTCAGCACAACAAACGCAAAAACGTCGAAATTAAAGTTCATTTTTATGCAAAATTAATTGCGGAAACCTGCTGCATTTGTTATCTACGAAACGAACCTGAAAAATTAAGGATAATAAAAACAAGTGAATAAAAAAGAAACTGTGTACAAATAAAAACAGAAGAATCTGTTTAACAAATTTCTGAATTTCTATGTTCTCAATTATCAAAATAATATCAACTTAAATATACAGTAAAACCTATAACGCGGAAAGTGCGTTCCGCGTTATACAAATTTCGTATTATACGGGTCTTTTCAGGCCAATAAAAACGTAACATTGTTTCATTATATGTACAGAATAACTTAAAATTTTTTATCGCGTTATAGGGGGCAGTAGCACAATTTTTAGTTCACGATACTACAAGACCACTCTAAAATTTTCAATCTTTATGTATTGTTAAAATAAAAACGAACCACTTTTTTTAGGGAATGTAATCTATCCTTTTCTAGAGAAACGTTATTTCTCAACACGATTTCCGATATGGCATACTTCGTTCGTTTTTAATTTTAACCACAGTACATAAGAATTGAACATTTTAGGATGATTTTATAGTTATGCCACGCTGTGCAGGGGTACTGCGTTATACGGGGTCATAATTTATTAAATTTTTACGTATCAAAATTTAGTTGTAGTCGGATAGTCAGTAAAAGTGGAGACCGGAATTTCCATTGCAATATGATTTTCCAATGACACCTCGCACGAGGGACTATGATCGATAGTATTCTCGCGGTTTGCTCGATCTATAAAAATTCGTATACAGCAACTTGCTATAAGCCGGGAATAGAGAGTGTGCCGTTCATACATTTCTGCAAACGGAAACACGCAGCTACAACAGGTTCCGAAGAGCGGCTTCAACTTTCTCGTAGATTAAACGTGAAAGATCGTTCAACACGCGGAGAGAGTGAACAGATACATATCTTCCCCGTCGAGTGCCAGCCGAACTAAAAGGCTAGACCATTATTCCGGCCAGGTAAAAATTGTTTCGTACCTTTATCCCGCGTGTTTACGACCGAAAGAAGTTCCGTGTATACCTACTGGCAAGATCGGGACGAATTGTTTTCGTGTAAGATGAGGAAAACTTTATTTCCGCTACCGTGTAATTTTCTAATTAAATTATACACGTCCGACGTTCAATGGCTTCCTTCTGTACGACACGAAATTCTGAATCTAAGTCTGGTATTCCGTGCAAGAAATAGCAATTTATTTTACGATATCTTCTTGTCTTCTCCTCCGAGAACCATGCAATATAGTTTGGCAAAGAGCCTGGAATAGGATAACAACAAAAACTCGACGCATGTAGTTCATAGTTCCGTGTAGTAATTTATATTCGTACGAGAATTCGAAAGTGTTTTCAAGGGGTCTTTAACCGTTATGCACTGTTCAATAAATTGTTACATTTATGGTCTTTGAATTAAACTAGGTGTAAGCTAAAATTGTATTGATCTTTAGAGAATGGGCAGGTTTTTCTATCGAGTCCAGTGTTACACTACGAAAAATAAGCGACCCTTTCGGAACTTGGAATAGGTTCCCTATTCTTTACAAGTTAAGAAAGTATACTTACAAATCGCTTGATCATTATACAGGGTGATAAGAAAAATGTGAGACACTTTCACAAGGTGCGATCTACATGCTAAACTAATTCTAAGACGAAAATCAAGAATGAGGAAACTGCGTTCGAGGTTTCGTTTTCTAGTTATTAATTAAACATACGGGCGTCATATGCGTAAAAAACGTCTGACGGAACGAGTTATTCTACTTGAGAGGCGCGCTCTGCAACTGTTTCACGAGTTGGTTCATTTCATTTTATTCCATTCATTAAATTTAACTAGGTCATCGATTAAGTCTGTGTATCAGTTGGGAATCGTGCCCGTATTTTCAACAATTAATAACGCAGAAATGAAGCCACCAACGCAATTTTGTTACTCTTGATTTTCGTGAAACTCTACCACATTTTTATTAATGCTCTCGGTATGTTAACTACTGGTGTCAAATTAATTTATCTGGTTCTCTGATACAGAATATAATTAAAAATTAAAGTCTGAGTTCAGGTCAATTTCGCCCGAACAGTGCAGAAGGCTTAAATTACAAACCTTATTTTTATACAGTGTGGACCAGGATGGTTGTTTTTCTAGATACAAAAATAAATCGAAAATGTGGAATAAAATTGTTTGCATGATGCTTCGTTTTCGAGGTAATCAATTTTGAATATTCATTTAACATTCATTGACACGTGTGTATTCGTGCTCATAATAAGTGGAAACTGAATGTACTGATCAGACGTGTTGTCCAAATTCAAATCCCATTCAACTGTACGAGTATCGATAAGATTTTTGAATTCGATTATCTCGGAAACGAAGCATCATACATAAAGAATGATATTCTATATTTTTGACTTTTTTTGCATATTGATGCATATTGACCCCCTGTATATTTATGTAAAACTGATGCCCTGGTATGATTTTCAATATTGCTAAAGGAAACTATAAATATTGCATATATTCCACTTGATACTTCGAAAAGTGATATTTGTATATAAATTTTTATTCATTTCAATAATGCTTAGTGACAGAAGTTTCAGTAATATGACAACTTCAAATTACTATGTTTGAAGTGTTTAATATTAATTTTTGGAGCACCTAACTGGAACCACTTCGATACTGCATAATTAATGATTTTAGTGAAACATGTTTCGGACAAATGCTATTGTCAAGGAGGGTATAATTGGACATGCTTACTTTTTTGTAGGAGAATGCATAAATAACATATGAAGGTCAAGTTTGTCTTTTTAAATGTACTCATATAATTTTTTAATACGTTCGTCGATCCAGTTACTTGTAATTCTAAGTAAAAAAGTATTAACCTATTCATATAGTAAAGTCATTAGTTTAGGAGACGTTTCAACTTTATTATTCGATGTAGCCTAAATGGAACTGCGATAGCAGTAGTTACAAATTCAAATAATTAAAGTTAAATCTCCTAAACTTATAGTTTTTTTTGTAAAACTATTAGTTGTACCATTGTTAACTATTTTGTAAACCAATGTTTTCTAACTACAATCATTAGTTACACAGTATCGAAGTGGTTTCAGTTACATGATCCACCCTCCATACCATTCTAGTCGAGTTTTCCGTTTTGACTGCTATACGTCTAATACAGATCTTTCACTGTGTAAACTTTATTTATATAAATAAATGCTTGAATTTGGAATCATATAACCTAACCGGGCATTATAAAACTTACCTCAGGGTGTATCGTTCAGTCAGTCTCGAAAGAGTTAAATTACAGAGAAAAGTCCCCCACATCGTAATACATATCGGCTGTGCAGGGGGTGAAACGTTTCACCCAGATGTCGCCTACATTCCTAATTTCATTGTTTACAGACACAACATTAAGTGACTAGTTTCTCCAATGATGAAATTACTGGCAGGCGTGGAAGAAGTGACCAACCACAAAGAAAAGCAGTCCGACGATGAGCAAACGTGCAACAATAATCATGAGATACAACACGCCACAGCCGAGTACACGCAGGAGACACTCAAGCTGCTTACTGGCGAGGTAAATTGTCTTCGAACGGTGAACATCGGCGGGTTTCCGGTTCATTTTTACGTGAAACGAAGCGAGAGAATGTTAACCTTTCTCGGTCGAGGTTTTTTCTTTTTTTTTTCTGCGAAAATCATGCATGTATGTCCATTTGTGCCGTCAACTTTCACTTTGGAACGGCCAGTAATTACTATTAGATCACACAACGGTGTGTTTACCGATTCTACTCGGTCTGCTCCATCTTTGGTTTACATTTCGGACACATGTTACATTTTTTCCTTTTAACGACGATCTGTATTTATGACTATCTAGGTTGTTTATTGACACCCTCTTCGTTTTTTATTCTGTATCGAACGAAGGTTAGTATATGTATTAAGACAGTTAGAATTTCTAATTTGGAGAGTTGAATATGATGAAAGTGGCAACAATTGGTCCAAATGGTTTCTGTCAAATGTATAGATGAATACTGTTTATTAACGGAACTTAGTTGCAGAAGAAAATACGTATATAGAAGGCATTAGTGGAACAGCTTTCACTATACTACAATTTCTTGTAGGACTTAAGAAATTTAAGAAGATTAGAAAAGTAGATACTGTAACAAATCCTGGTTGCTACAATTTCTGTACAGTTAAAGTATTATTTTGGCAGTTAACGTGTTAATCTAGAAGTTATTGTATGAGAGAGAAATATATCGACCTACTATGATGGTTTCTATTGACAATACTACGTTCGTAAGAAACATATAACTATAATTTAATGATTTCTGAATAATAATAATTTTGAAAATTAAATGGAATTTTTGTAAAATAATACTTTTTAAACAGTCTCCGAAGAAATTGTTACAGTAGCATTCACTGAACTGCCAACGAGAAAAAAAATGAAAATTGTTTGAGTTACCATCATTGTTTGATTTTAACAATACTCAATGATTTTTTGAGTTTCTCAATAACAAAAATATTGTCATAACCATATTACACGAATTGATGTATCTGACAATTCCATACAATTAATAACTGAATTAGTAGTTCTCGTTGTACTATAATCTTGTAATACTGAAAAGAACCATATTTTCCTAGAAGCACGAGAAATTTGTGTTTGAACAAAAAATTTGGACTAATTGATCAAAAATAAAATAAACTTTTCATTTATTGAAATGAAAAAGTATCCAATTTCATTAAATTAAATCACAACAGTATTTTATTGTTTCCAAGAGAAATAGTTTTCAATATTTGTTAAAGTATTGTTGAATTAGCTTCTCTATCGATTGTAGTTTGTGTTTTATCAACAAAGTATAATAGCAGAAAAGTGTCCATACACTAATGACTTTTACCACCGCTTGACGATACCGTTCTTAGTGTGGCACCAGATTAAAAATAACTTCCATCAGGTTATACTTTTAAGGGTCAGATCAATGTAATATTATAGTAACAAAGATCGAAATTTTTTTTACTAGTCTAAAAAACATACACCTAAAATGTTTTTCTCTGATATTCCTAAAAATGATTGTGGTACGCGATTTTGAAACGAACACTGCACAGAATATAATATAATACATCTCAAATTTTAAATGCTTTTTTCTCAAAATTATGTTTTTCAAACTGGTGTGCAAGGTAATTAAAAAAATAATTAACTAATCGACTTAACACTTTGCCTCCCTATAATGGATACATATTATTGGAGAATGAACCTAAAAGAATTAAGAAAAATCCAACAAATTATATTTTTTTTTGTAAATTCGAAGTATAAAAAAAATCGAGGCTTTAATATTTCATTTTCAAATTGCTACTATTCTTGTAATTTTTATTACAGAATTTGAAAGTTAGGTTCATCATTCAATCTCAAACATACAATTTATCAAAATGTTTGTTTCTTTTAATTTGAGATGACCAGAAACGCCAGTTGCGGCGGTTTTCTCTGCAGAGTTAGATTTGACAATATGCAACATAAAAAATTTTACGTTTAAATTAATAAAAAAAAGTGCCAATTAATAGTTTAATAATGTCTTAATGCATACACAAAGTATACAAAAATTTGGTTGATTGAGTTTTGCATCCTTTCAGAGCGTTACACTGATCTTGAGCCTTAATATAAAGCTAACTTCTAGTACACTTAAAAGTAAATCTGTCTTTACTCTTGCAGACCTGAATTTCCTTTTAACAGTACAAAAATTATTTGATTACACATTGTAACTCAGCAGACTGTTTAGATTATATTTTGTTTAAACAAAATGTTTATATGTCCCATAGTTTTTTTGGTCATGTTATTCAATTCTGAATTCACTAGACCTAGTAAAACAATTCAGAACATGAACAAATTCAAATTCGAAAGGTTAACCTGAAAATGGTTAACCTGATATTATAATGAAAATGGTATTCTCAATTCATAATAAGCATCACTAGTATATGAATACTTTTTTCTTCGATTGCATGTTGTTGCTTATATAGTAATTTAACACTTTATTGACCAGTAGCCTATTAATAGGTTTTTAAATTTCCGTGCTTATAGATAAAAAGTCTATTAATGTTACCCTTAAATCAGCGTTATAGAAGAAATGTTTACGTTATTCTATTAGAATTTTCACTATTTTCCATGAATATAATTTGCTACTGTGTTGAACTGTTTTATAATGGTTCCTTGGCTGTTGATCGTTTGATCTACCGAACCTATTAGTAGCAATCGATAGATAATGTGTTAATAGTAAATCATCCGCGAGAACATACGTGGACTGCGCTAGGGGACTCTGTTGAACGGGGTAGTGGTAAACGGTACACGATAGTGAGTATGCGGTAGTGAAAAATTGATTTCGCTGGCGAAAGATGTAAAAGAGAAGAAGAAAGCCCACGGTATAAACTTGACACACTCAGATGAAAGGCAAGTACCGTTGTGCCCTACTTTATAGCTTTCGTATCTCGAGATACACAGATGTTGAACCTTTACTGGTGTATCGTGAAATCACATACACGATGCGATTATGTTGGCCTGGTCAGCAAAAATCGATTGGAAGTAGTTACTCCAATTGGAGACTTCGAAAACGTATTATTTCGAGACAACTCGCGTAATTCGATTTACAATAGCATTCTTATTCACATGAACGGAACAACATTATGGAACATAAGTCGTAAAAAGAAGAATATTAGCAAAATTAACAATAATAAGATTGTAAAATATAAATATACAATCGCTGAAATAATTGGAGTTCTCTTCGCTGTTTCCACAAATGAAACTTCGTTTTACGTATGCTTATTCTATTAAAAATACCACATATCAAGAAGAAATATTGCTTATACATATATGATGTAGAATAAAAATTGCATTTATGTAGACAATTTTTTATCAAACTGAAAAATACTTCAAATATTTTGAGTAGCAATGTGAATGCCTTTGTTTACACGTTGCGCCATTTGTAACCAAATGCATACAATATATTCTGGCCTAATGGACCACCTGTATTAATTTGGATACTGTTTATGCAGTAAAGAAAAGACACAGTGGCTACAAGCAATATAATTTTTTTCCATGATGTCGCTTAATGTGTTAAGAACAAGAGAAGTCTTTTCATTGAGGCTTATGTAAGTTTAATAATATGCTACTTTAGATAGACATGGTGATAATGAAATTACAAGCACAAGAAAGTATTGTATAATTGTTAGTGTTATGAATTGATCAATTAGACGTAGTTTTCCTCGAATGATAGAAGACGGATTAAGTATGAGTCACATTGCACAATATCCTTCCACAAAATTCTAAAGTCAAATATATCGCTTTTAGGAAAAATTTTGGTTCTTTCTTAACACGAATGTTAATAGAAAAAAACATAATAAAAATGTCTTTTTATATTCATACCTTTAATTATAGCTGATGTAATAAGTTCGTGACCATTAACATAAATTGTGAACCTTCCATCAAAACATTTACGACCTGTTATTAATTAAAGAATTTGGGCGATTAACTGTGAAATGAATCGTCAAAAGAGAAAAGATATAATTGCCTCTAATAGTTCCAACATGTACTCTTGTATCTCACTATTCCCGCATGCCTTCTGTATAAAAATGGGAAATATTACTTATTAATTATTATCAATTACCAGTCACTAATCAATATGTACAAATTACAAATGTAGCTCACAATAATTTAATATTCGGAGTAATTACTCAAAAATGTAATACAAAAGAAAAAAGATTTCTATTAAAATTACTATATTCATGAACAAACTTTTCACTTCTATATTATTTATGTCACTTATTAAATCAACGAATCTAAACCAAAGCAGAACAGAAACTTTAACAAGAACTTTTTACATTATTATTAACTTAATGAATCTTTGTGAAATATAATATCGCCTAAAATTGTATGTTTGCATATAGGTCCACGGTTGATGATTAAACTTTTTAGTTTAGAATAAAAATTCACAATTTTTTATCCAGGTGTACCGGAGGGGTTCCAAGAAACTAGAGGAATCGCCTATCAAAGGCAAACTAACACTTGAAGATGAAGAGAAATTGAGACAGCTGCTTTCTTACAAAGAAGCTCCTGAGCATCTTCAACATAATCCTTATATTCTGAACGGATATCGTGGGTACCTTACCACAAAATTATGCCTTGAAAGGTTTGTACAGTACATTTTCCAGTTTAAATTTCGTTTCAAACATAATCACTGTTCTTGTTTGCATTTTGTTACAATATACCGTTTATATCGAATCATTTCATAAAACTCTGCACCTTCCATCTTCTGTACGTAATTATAGTTACATCTCATCAAATTACAGAGTATTGATCAATAGATTATATTAAATAGTACTTTAGATGTTCGAAATAATTTGAGAAAGGCGTTCGAGATCTTTTAATTAAATATTAGCTTAGAGCTTAGAGAACAGTCACTTTAGACGAAGTATATTTAAATAAAGGAAAACAAACTATACAAGCTACTATAAGTAGTTATTTCGTATCGAATATAGTTTATTCAGGAACAACATATTAATAATCACCGATAATAAATCGATTTACTTTTAAAAAACCGTTTGTTAATCAGTAATATATATGTATACGTATTGTCTACAAATTGAACATCGATAAATTATTCTAACGAAAAGACGATCATTCTATCGATGTCTAACATTTTTTTCGTATGCGTACGTATTTTCTTTAATGAAATATTTTCACACGAAAAACCATAAAGAATTATAAAAGGATTTTATATACAAATAATTATAAACAAGAAACAAGTATAGAAAATATGCGAACATAATAGTTGCGTAATTCGTCTAAATAATACCAAATCTTCACATTTTTATTGCTGAGAAACAAACACAATATAAATAATACAATTAAATTTTTACTGGATAATTATTGTTTCCAGTATATTCTGGTGGACGAACGAAACAGTAAATATATGGAGCCACATATTTGGGTGGATGTTATTCTTCGGTTTGACCCTGTACGATCTTTGCCTACTGAATATTCATGCGCCGATGGGTGACAAAGTAATCGTGGCACTTTTACTAATTTGCTTTCAGGTAAACGCTGGTTTCCTTAATTGCAATAATGTAACCACGTAAATTCCTTATGTAACCATACTTTTAGTTACGGTAAATTGTTAAACAATGAAATGAACTTGAAAATCCATTGTTTTAGGCTTGTATGATACTGTCCTCGGTATATCACACGTTTTCCTGCCGAAGTGAAAGAGATTATTGGTGTTTCCTTTCGTTCGACCTCTTTGGCATCGCCTTAAGTCTTCTGTCTATATACATGTCCGGAGTTTACTATGCGTTCTGGTGTCATAAGGTGAACAAATCGCATAATTTCTAACATATGTATGTACTCTACAACCTTAACCCTTTAGTATGGAAATATTTAAATGATTTCTTCGTGCTTCATAATCTCAAGGCTCGAAAACACAACCAACAATGTTATCGGTGTAAATTACGTGTGCTAATAAATAATCCATTGCTTTTGTTCCAATTCAGACTGAGTTTTTAAAATCATCTACTTACACTACATTTATGATATTCGTCCTTCGCCAGAATTTTACGTTGTTTTACCAAACAAAAGATATTTTGCAAGATCGGAAAGATATTTTTAGTTTACATTATATTACTTCTGTTTATTCAACCAGCAAAGTGGAACACATCAAATTTGCACAATTAACCATCCGAAGATAATTACAAAATCGAAAGTCTTGCAGAAGCAATGTTTCGTATATCCATGCTGACAGGTTAAAAATTTGTATGTAATTTAGACGGCGGATGTTTAGACGAGTTATAAATTAATTTAGAAAATAAAGTAAATTATTTCCGCTGTTACAGATTTCGAGGGCAAGAATAGAATAAAAATTCTATCTATAAACACATAAAGTCCGTAGTCTAAATATAACGTATACAATTTTATTATAAATTTCTAATTATTTATGATTAACCTGTAGATGTTTATAGAAATTCACATTTTTACGAAAACGGCAGAGAAACTTATGTACATGTATTCGATTAAAAGTTTTATCGTTCTAAAAAGTAAATTATAAGTGCTTAAACTACATTACAAAATTTACTTTCCTATACATTGTCTGTTTGCACTTTTAATAATATTCCAATTGATACTGACACGAATTTCTCTCAATACATTTATAGATGTAATAAACTGTTTTTGATCGGTGATAATTATACAGGGTGTTAATAAAAATGTGAAACACGTTCACAGGGTGGATTCTAGATGTCAAACTAAAACAACAATCGAGAATCACGAAATTGCGTTTGAGATTTCACTTATAAATTATTGTTCAATCTCAAAAATTTCCTTCTATTAATTACATTGAAAATACGGTCGAAATACGGGTAAAATACGTCTGACGCGACGGATTATTCTATTTGAAAGATTCAGTAGCACAACCGATGATTCTGATTCTACGTAACAAAATAAGAAAAAATCTTCATATAAAATTTTTCGTCTGAGTCTTCATTTTCGAGAAAATCGAATTTGAAGATTGATCGAATACACATACGATCGAGTATGACTTTCCTATCATGTATCCGATCAATTTTCAAATTCCATTTTCTCAAAAACAAAGTATCGGACGAACAAATTTTATAACAAAATTTTTTCTTACTTTTTCACATAAAATCATAATCACACATTTTCCTGCTGTACTACGCTTTTATTACTCGGATATGGGTTTGCTTATTTTTACTCTAGATTCATCGAAAAAAGTTTGATTAAAAACGACAACCGCACATCTGTGATCTGTCCTTGTTAGCTTGAAATGTAGAATCCATCCTGGTGAAAGTGCCCCACATTTTTATAAACGCCCTGTATATAAACTGACTTGTTATAATACAGGAGTTGCAGAGGTTTTACCTGATAACCGTGCTGGCAATTTTTATATTTGCAATGATACTACAAATACCAAAACTGAATGTTAACGGGAACGTCAAGCTAGTCGTATTTGTCGCTTGGGCGGCATATGGAGTGCTGCCAACGCTGCATTGGAGTATCGCAATGGGCGGCATGGACAACCCGATCGTTAGGATGTTACTGCCAAGGGTACTAGGAATGTATGTCATTAGTGGTGGAGCGTTTGCCATTTATTTGACCAAAATACCGGAACGCTTTTTCCCAGGTAATCATTTTCCATAAGGGTTATCATTCCGGCATTCACGTACACAGATCGCAATATACCATAAAATAATGAAGGGGATTAGAGTTACCTAAATTACTTGCGTTATTTTATTTCCGATCTGTTTCTTAAATGAACAAAAAAAAAGAAGATAATAATTAAAACAATATTTTGTTGTTGTTTAAAGAGGAAGCATTCACGCTATGAAAATGTTATGATGATCTTGATACAGTCAAAACGAATTAAACAGATCGTAAAGTGTCAGTATAAAGAAAAGGGTTTCCATATTTCTTAGTATTAAAATATTGATTAAAAATTTGCACATGGCACTTAAACATTGATTCAATAATTCATATAATAGAGGGGGAATTATTAAAATCGATCCCCTTGAATATCTTCAAAACGTTTGATGGTACCGAAAAATGTTTTAAACAAAAGATGAATGATCTCGAGGGAAAAATAAATTGATTTGAGTAGTTTATTTGCAGCTGAATTCGTAGAGGACATATAAAGATCAAATTAGTTTTTTTTTTTAAATGGAATTATAGATTTTTTAACGCATTAGTCGGTGCTGCGCACCGTTCCCTATAAAAACAGTATAAGCTATTTATTCCTAAAAACTATTAGTTTAGGAGATATTTCAATTTCAAAATTACGAAGTGGTACTAGTAATACGATGTGTCCCTCCTTAAAGTTAATGTTCAAAATAAGAT